AACTTCATCTCCAGAGCTGCTCTGAGAGTCACTTCATCAGCTTTACACCATTAAATTTGAGAACAACTACCATCAAACACACACTGAAACTCTAAAAAAAATAATTTTGGCTTACCCTGAAGAAATTATGACAGAAATATATTACTATTTATACTAAAATTATGTACTTCTCAAAATAATAATAATATTATTATTATTTTTAAGGAATGTCATACAACCAGATATTTTTCATCCAGTTTTAATTTATACAGTTCTATTGTTCAGCATCTTAATTGACAAAAAGGTGCAATATTTTGTTTTGATTACATTTTAAAGATTACCTACATTGTCAACATTGTAATAATTAATTTCATTATCCACCATTTTTTATGATACATTTGAATTAAATCATAAAGCTGTAACATGATGGTGCTGTAAAGAGCACACAACGAAGGATTCCACAAAAGCCTTTTAATTATAAATCCAAGAGCAAACAAGGCAGGGGTAGCACAAACACAAATGTAGGCATAACAAATAACCGGCAAAGAAACTGAACAAAGCACGAAGCAAGCATAAATAATGGGGCTAGTGAAACAGAGACACCTAAAAGTAATAGGTAACTAAGGAAACTAATGACGAGCTGATCAGAACTAAACGAGGCAGGAGAATAGGAACTGATATAACACAGAGAAGTTCATAACCATGACAGTAGCTCCCCATCCCGGAAGGCGCTTCATCGCAATGCAAAGCGTCCATCTGAGGAGGGAGGGAGGGAGGGGGCTCTGGAGATGGGTAAAGAACAGGAGATGGACAGTGAACAGGAAGTGGAGCAAGAAACTAGGGCGCCGAAGATGGTGTGAGGAGCAGGAGTAGCCAGGTGGAGATTCAGACCACAGCAAGGACGGCGATCCACGGTGGAGTCACTGGAGATGGAGCTGACGACACTAGGGGGCTGATTGACGGAGACATAGCCGATGGAGTGGGAGCCCAGGTCGGAGACGGAGAGCCACAGAGCCAGGGTGATGCCAAGGATCCGGAGGGCCAAGGTGGAGCTGACGGCTTAGGTGACCGAGGCAGAGGCAGGGATCCAGAAGACCGCTGTGGAGCCGGAGCGACAGAGGACCAAGGTGGAGCTGAAGGGAAGGAGGAGCCAGACGGAGCCAGAGGGATGGAGAGATGAGGCAAAGCCGGGGGAGTAGAATCCCGTAGCAGATGAAGGATGATGACTGACAAGATGGATCCGGAGGGACGAGGGAGCCCAGAGGAGCCAGTGGGATGACGGGACACAGTGGAGACGAAGGAGCAAAGAGCCAAGGTGGAGCTGATGGGTCGGAGGGCCGAGGTGGAGTCAAGTTCTCAAAGGCTGAAGGCGGAGACAGGATCCTCACGCCAAAGTGGAGCTGGAGACTGTAAGGCCCGAGGTGAATCAGAGTGCCCGGATGGCGCTGACTAAGAGTGATCTGAGGTACTGACAGGAACCAGCGGAGGCAGGGCTGAGGAACTGGCTGATTTTAGGAGAGGAGGTGGGAGAGGGAGGCTGAGAGGGAACAGGAGCTGGGCGGAACCAGCGGAAACTCAGGAGATGTAGGACAATCAGGAGAACTGGGTATTACCTCCCCAAACCAAACCACTCCATCAAATCCACATCAAAAATGTCTTTCAGTTCCGCCAAATAGTTTTCAGAGGCCAGCTTTAGCTTACCTTCAGCGGTGGGAGTGTGGGCTGGGTCTTAATTCATTCCCTCGATCTCCA